TGAGCGTCTTACTTGCTTGGAGATTGTGGGGTCGCACGTGTGGGCTGCAGCCTGTTTAGGGCGTTTGGGTGCAGAGGTAGGGAACACGGGGTTGCGGTTGACAGCACTGTGCCGGGACTGGCTTGGGGCCAGCTGTGCAGGTGTGAGCACAGGAAAGCCCTGGCACCCTGCCAGTCCCTGGCCCTCCCGTCTGCCGCCTCGGCCCAAGCCAGCTCCTGCGTCCTGTGACTGCGGGCTCCTCCTGTAGGACAAATCTGGATGGGATAGACGGGACCCTGTCAGTGCTCACCTCCACCTGTCCCCAGCCATGCCAGCCCCCACAGTCTGTCCCCTAGGTGGCGGGGCTCCCAGTGAACCTTAGGCAGTTCATGCCTGGCTCCCAGTGTGGGTAGAAGCCAGGAACTGCTGCTGTCCCCTGCAGCCGCAGGGCGATGCCCCCTCTGGACACCCAGACGTGTCTGTTTCCCTGCGTGGGTAGAAGCCAGGAACTGCTGCTGTCCACTGCAGCCGCGGGACCTCATGCCCCCACTGGACACCCAGGCGTGTCCAGCTCCCAGCCTTTGCACTGGCATCCTCCCCACGCTTCGCCCGCACTCCACACGCCTGTGCTCACACGTGCTACCCAGAGGGACCTGTCCCTCTCGGGTATCCACTCATGGACTAAAGGCCAGCAGGGTTTGGGCCACTCTCTCCCTTGGGATCCCAATGACCCCCCCCCTCAGTACCCCGACCTCCTGCTCAGGCAGCCCTGATGACTCGCCAGGCTCCCTCTGCAGGAGCCGGCGACCACCCTCAGCATGCGGCCTGCGGCGGCGAGCATGATGGACCTGGCTTATGTGTGCGAGTGGGAGAGGTGGCCCAAGACCACCCACTGCCCTTCGGTGCCCCTGGCCTGCGCCTGGTCCTGCCGCAACCTCATCGCCTTCACCACAGACCTGCGCAGTGATGACCAGGGTGCGCACCAAGCCCTCCCACCCGGTGTAGCCCCACCCCTGCTACAGAGGTCACGCCCAGGCTGCTGGCCCTGTGTAGGCCCTTCCCCTTCTGCATAGGGCCCGCCCCTCCCCTGTGTAGGCTCGCCC